CCCCAGTGGCAGTGTCCGCATGCGGTTCCACCCCCATTTCGGCACACCCCTCACACGCTTCGTGGCCCCATGGGTAGCTCCACCGAGGGCGCCAGTGGCAGTGTCCGCATCGCGGTTCCGCCCCATTTCGGCACACCCCTCGCACGATTCGTGGCCCCACAGGGAGCCTCACCGACGGCCCCAGTGGATGGGTTCACACGGCGGCGCCTTGTCGATTTCGGGGCGCCCCTCGCGCAGATCGCGCCCTCGAGGGGGCGTCACATACGCCTCCTGTGGACGGAGGCTCCCGGAGATCTCCAGGCTGTTCGGATCAGGACGGGGGACCAGGAGGACAAACAAATACGATGATGAGGAGGTGGAGGATGAGGCTCAAGGGGGCGAGCAGGCCGCGCCTCCGCACCACGATAAGGGCACAAGCCGGAGGTAGAGGGCATGGTCCTCCTCTCCGTCCAACTCCCTTCCAGTGCTGCGTTTGCCTCTTCCCCTGTCCTCCTTTTCTTCCTCCTTCTCGTCATGTTCGCCCGAGTAGTGGGATGTATATGACAGTTGAGTCCATTTTGCGCTGAAGCCATCCGTTGCAAGTAATCTGAACCACCGCGGCGGTGGCCTGGCCCCGACCGGTGTCCAGGATTACTAAGCGAGGGGTGTCCTCAGGGGCATGGTCTTGAACCGGGACGGACTCGACAAGTCATACACATCGATGTTTTCTGCGTTGCGAATGTGACAATATCATTTCGTGTCGTTGTCGTCGTCGCCGCCGCCGTCTTCGTCGCTGTCATCGTCGTCCTGTTTTCTCCTCTTCGTTCTCGTCCTCGTCCCCCTCCCTATTCTCTTGTCCTTATCCGTCCATTCCTTTTCTTCCCCCCCGCACTTTCTCCCGTCTGGCCACCCCGTCCACAACCTCCTTGCTTACCTGCAAGGAGGCCCCGGCCCCAGCAGGGATTGAGGAGGGAGAATAATAGGGGACGTCCACTCAAGGGAAGACAGGGGGGAGTTGTACATTCTGGGCCGGAAAATTTGGAAATGCAGTTGAATTTTGAATTGTGGGGTCTCGCATGTCTGGAGCCTGCGGCGATTTCTGGGTGGTGCCGAAGGGCTCATTTGCTCGGAGAAGGCAGATCTTGTTCGGTCGTTCGATTGTTTTCCTCGTTTTGGTAGTTTCCTGTCGTCCCCGGAAGCCCCAGCGCAGAGCGGCGAGGGAGAGGACATTTGCCTGTCTCCAAACGAAATCTGCGTTGAGACAAAAGGGAATGCTATCGAATTGAGAAATTTCCGGAGCCACATTTTTGACGCCTCCAGGGTCCCCATAGGTCCCCGGAAGTCCCCAGGCTCCAAGAGAACTCTTTGTGAATGAACAGGCAATGGCAAGGGATGATACGGAGGAGGGAAGATAGGGAGGGCGCTTGCTTGCCTGTAAGAGAAGTGTTTGTTGAACAAGGGCGGAAATGCTATGCTCTGACGTATTTTCAGTGGTGAACTCTGATACCATATGGTCGCGACCAGGTTATCGAGTCGTGCAAACGGCGAAACCACTCTGTACGAGAGGAGGGAGTGAAGAAGGTTAAAAAGGGGCGCGCGCTATATAGGGCAGGTCCAGGGTGGCTGAGGGTGGGAAAGCTTGAGCCCCAGCAGCGATATGGGGGCTGCTGGAGGGCTGCAACATATAAAGAACCTCAAAGCAATCACGTGCAACGCATAACCATGCTCTGACGTCTTTTCAGTGGTGAACCCTGTTACCATATGGTCGCGACCAGATAATCGAGTCGTGCAAACGGCGAAACCACTCCAACATATTCGCAAAGCCGAAGTTCTCAGCGTAGCGGTATAGACCCTTCACCGGCGTTGGGGAAGGCGTCAACCTCAGTATGTGAAAAATATTACTGCCACATACGGATCACCTTTGTTCACAGGTCGAGCAAGACAGTGCACAGCCACCGAGCGAAGCGAGAAGGGTACGCAGCGGCTCTCAAGGTCATAGCCTTTCCCTCTAGGACGACGTGCTTATGACCAGGCCTGAAGGAACAGTATCCGTGTTTGCCTCGGCAACGTACGGCTCCCGGGTAGGCAAGGACGAAGTCCCCTGCCTCCGTGACACATCCCAGGGCCAGCTTGGTCGCCTTTCGCCACCTGGATCCGACGGCGCACTGGTGCAAATCCAGAGTACGGCTACGGCTCAAAACATACTTCACGATATCTTGGCATCGCCACATGTAAGAGGTCTGAGGGTTCTCCAACGCGAACGGGACTCCGGAGACATGGCACAACCGAACGATGTACACGGCCACACGCTTACAGAGGTTACCTATGCTGACTGCGGTCTGGTCGTTTGGACGCAGGGATGGCAGACCCTCTGGGCATTGCGCACTTCTGACAGGATACCTGTTACGAGCAAGAGGGAAAGAAGAACAGGGAGGTGCCAGCGTAACTGCTCTGATGAGCCCGGCCTTAAAGTGGGCGAGAATCGCATCTAGATTATTGGCGCTGCACACATCCTGGTCCCCCCCATTTCGCAGGTCCAAAGACACTGAATTGAAACCAAGTCGCTTGGCGAAGCCTCCAATCCCGCCTCCACCAGAAAAAAGATCCAGCTGATACGGTGCGGAAGCCGCGGCCAGCTGCGAGCTCAGCGGAGCCCGCGACAGCCCTCTCGGCCGCCGAACGGCGGCGCAAGCGCGGGGCGCCCCAGCAGCAATACCTCTTGCAGGAGGTTGGCCGCTGCAGCGCAGTGCGCCTTGGAGGCGTCGCTCAGCTTCTCCCAGCTCTCGTTCAGTCGTCCTGACTTTTCGTATCTTTTCACCGAACTCATCGCAGCCCATCGCCCTCTTTTCTGAACCTCTTCCAGAAAGCGTCGCCCCGTGGCCCGATCCAGCGATGCTCCGCTGTGACGGCCTTGGTATGGGACGACGTCGACTCCGATGTTCGTGGCCGCTCTCCGGAAGAGGCACAGGAACTGCGGGTAGCTCAAATCCAGGAGGGGCCGGGATGACTGGCGGTCCTTCAGAGCTTTGAAGATGTGACACATCCACGGGCACCGTCCTGAGTCGCAAGGAATGGTATCGTCTGCTGACCCCACCTTGCTCCGAGCCACCCCAGCTTCTGGAAAAAGCCATACGACCCAGATCTGTACTGCATGCTCCGCCGGTGCCAGAAATGAATCGCTCGTGAGGCTCAGCATCTCCCCCGGCCGAAGGTAGCACTCCACCATGATTAGCACCATTGCGCCTACCAGAGGCGCCCCCAGGCGGCAGAGCTCCACTGCCAGCGCCGCCCAGATCGCGAACACCAAGGGCTTCCGAGATCGAGATGGCGAAAGCTTCTTCCACCCTTTCAGGCAGCGCAAAGACCTCGGGAGATGCAAACCGCCCAGGCGGCCGAAGTCCGGGTGGAAGAACATCAGCCCAGCGAGCAGCTTCTCGCCCCGCAAGGCCTTGACGCCCTTCAAAAACTCTTCGTTCATATATTCGACCAGCTGGCCGTCCAGCTCCTTGAGCTCGGGCAGGGCTGTGAGGCAGCAGCGGGCCCAGACGCAGAATGCGAGCACGCACTGGCGGTAGGTCTCCAGGGCGCCTGCGCCCACCGTCCTCTTCTCGAGGTAGCTGATGCACAGCTTCGCGTCGCCCTTGCCCGCCTCTGTGGTCTCCAGCACCTCGATCGCCTTCCTGACCCGAGCCTCCCCGCGCGTCTCCAGACGCCTGCGGGAGCGCGCGGCAGCCGGCGGCTCCTCGACGTCGCTGCTCTCGATGCTCTCGCTCTCCGCCGCGACCTCGGCAACCCCGTGGCCGGCGACGGCCTGGTCGGCCAGGTGTGGTCCGCTAGGGCTCAGCTGCAAGCAAGCTTCCACTGAGCTCTGCAGCGGCGGTCGGGCGGCGCCCTCCAGCACCAGCCTCGCGGCCAGCCCGCGCCTCTGGTCCAGCGTGCGGGACCTCTGCGCTGGCGGCGGCCCTCCTGAATCCAGCCGGCGACCAGGGCTGCTCAGCGCCCGCGTGCGCCTGCGGCCTGCCTCGAGCGGGGCGGCTGGCGTCGGCGCCGCAGTGCGGCTCAGCGTCCGCCGCCGACTGCTCTCTGCCGCCACGGGCCTCCGCTGCGGAAGCATCGACAGGGTCCGCAGGAACCTGGGGTGGCAACGAGTTTGAGCCAAGATGGGCAACGAGGGTCTTTTGTGCATCATAAGCAGGAACGAATATTCGACTTCCCTCGTCGCCAGACTTGAACTCAGACGGAACCCAACGAACAACAAACTTGATGTCTCTAGCAAGGCACAGGGCAGCGAAGCGGCGGACCTGAATTAGAAGCCGTAAATCCCTGGACCTGAACCTGCAAAAACACAACACGACAGCGAGATTATCTCCTAACAAAAGGGTGCGGCATTTTTTTACAGGCTGACACTGCGCGGCACGAGCTGCAGCCTTCACCAACGCTCGTGCCTCAAGTCTGAGGATATCATCGGCGAAGGCCCAGCGGTCGGCCATGACCGTGGCCCAATGCGAGTCATGCAGGAGCCAGCTGGGCACCTCGGGGAAGCTCGGGTCCAGCTCCCAGCGTCTCTGGCCAGCGCGCGCTGGAGCTCGGCGTCCAGCCGCTTCGGGGCCCCCGCCTCATCTCGGACGACCTCGCCGGTCTCGCTGTCCAAGAAAACCAGCGCACTCGAAGGCATGCTGTCTCGCTAGCCCAGCTCCCAGCCGCCACCGCGCCAGCTCCGATACGCGGCCGATCTTTGCCACCGTCTCGGTCCCGAAGCAGGCCTCCGCCACCCCGTGGCCGTACAGGCTGGCGTCGGAGGAGTAGACCACTGGCATCCACGGCCTGGTCCAGGTCGACTCCAGCAGCAACATGATGCCCAGGCAGTTCAACTCCTCACGCACGGTGGGCCACAGCTCGGAGAAGGCATGGTAGTTCTGCGCCACAAAGGCGTAGACCGAGTGGAAGATGGACAACACATCGCGGCGAACCAGGGCCATGAAGGTCATGTGGCCCAGCACCATCTCCAGCTGCCAGCCGGCAACCTTGCGCCTCCTCAGCAAGCACCTCAACCCCTTCCGCACCATGGCGAACCTCTCGTCAGTAGGGCGGGTCGCACGGTGCCTGCCGTCGAGATAGCAGCCCAGGGTGCGACCTCCCTCAGGCATCACCTCCACCACGTGGAACTTCAGATGATCCCCATCGAAGTCGCGCTGGGCCTCCTGCAGCGCGCAGGTCACACGCGCTGCGTCGAACCCGATCACGCCTGCATTGTCGACGTACATGTAGTGGCCCAGTTCCGACCCCACGGTACCTCGTCCAAGGACATGCGGCGGCCCGCGATCGCTCAAACGCAGGCTGCCCGCCAACGACGGCTGTCGGTCGAGCCTGCGCTGGTTGGCGGCCTGGGCGAAGTACAGGGACCACGGAAAGCCCATTGGCAGGCTCTGGCTCATCGGCCAAACCTGCTCGCCGGCGCGCACAGGGCGCCCTTCGACCAATGTCTCTCCAGCCAGAGCAGCATCCAGTGGCGGCCAGCAGAAGTAGTGCCTGATGTCGCCCTGCAGCTTCATCCTGTGGAAACAGTCGGCCACGTCGCCCACGCCAAGCACCGCGCCGAGCCCGGCAAAGCTGGAGTCCTCCATGACGGGCATCTCTACGCGGCCGAGCCCCTCGCCCGACAACAAGTCGACCCCGGGAGAAGGGCGGAACAAGGCGTTGCTCCGCCTGCAGTCGACGATGAGGCGAAGACGAGCCCCATCCCTCTTCTTCACTAAGAATAATCCAAATACGCTCTTAGGCCTCTGTGTCAAAGTGACTAAGCCTATCGAAAGCGCTCGCCGCACGAACTTCCCATAGCTCCGCGGCCGTTGCAGCAGCAGAGGGTCGGCGTGACAACCAGGAAGCCCATCAAGTTCTCGCATTAGTGCTGCCTCCTGAGGCGGCGGCAGCACCCTGGAAGCAAACTCCTCGAGGTATTGCTGCGCCTGCGCGGGGGGCATGGCGGCCAGGGGCGGCGCGTCGACGACACTATCTGGCAAGCTCACCCGCGAGTACTCGTAGGAGCCCATGCTGGTCGAGCCAAGGGGGGCATACCCCGCCTTGCCCTTGAGAAGCCTGGCAAGGGCCCCCTCCTCACTGACGGCGCTGTCAACGTCTATCCACCGGCGAGCCGCCGAGAAAACGCGCTGCTGCACGTCCGCCGAAATGGCATCCATCTTCATATGGCTTGTCAGGCTCGCTGGTGCCCGATCGCCTCGGTGGATGCCCCCATGCAAGTAAATCAAGCTTTCGCAAGCAGCGCTGCCGCCCCGAAGCCAGCGACGGCGCTGCGCCGCGCTGAGCCCCTCGCACCACTCGGGAGGCAACCCGCTCAGGGGGGTCAACGGCAAGAAGGAAGCGCCGCGTAGCCCTCTGGAGCCCTTCGATCTGCAGGGAGCGGTCGGGCGCCCGCCCCCCTCCGCCAAGGACGCCATGAGCACGGCGGGCGGGGGCCTCGACCCCGCCCGCCTCGGCCTCGGCCGCGGCCACGGCCACGGCCTGCATCGGCACCGCCCCCAGCCCCGCCACCTCCAGCGCCGCCTCCGATCGGCGAGCCGCCAGCGCCCACCGCGGCAGCCGCAGCGCCGCGACCGCCCTCAGCCGAGAAGGCCGCTGGCGTCTTTGCCCGCGCCCGCAGCGCCCCCAGCTCGTGCTCCTCCTTGCTCAGGCGGCCGGCGTAGCTCCGCAGCGCCTCGGGCACCAGGTCCAGAGGATTCGTCGTCCCCGCCAGGTGCTTCGCCGCCGCCCAGTTCGCGTGGTCCGCCCCGTGCGCGCATGCCTCCGTGCACTGCAGCAGCCGGCGGGCGATCACCACCAGCGATGCCAGAGCTCCCACGTTCACCTGGTCATAGGTGCCCGCGAGGCACAGGCGCTCGATGAGCGTCTGCACCTCGTGGTAAGCACGATCCCGTCGAGAGATCCCTGTCTCCTCGCACCACTCCTGGAACCAGATCTTGGGCGCGCCGCCGTGCCGATACATCTTGCGGCACACCTCCAGGCAGGCAGGCGGCCCGCGCAGGCTCGAGTCAGAGAACACCTCCTGCATACTCTCCTGCACTACCTTGCGCCCCTCCTTGAACCTCGAACCTGTCTCGTCGACGTCGATCCAGCACGCGCGCAGATCTTCGGCCTGCTCTTCGCCAGTGCCCGCCGCGACAGCCGCAACCGTGGGCCCCCCAGGGGGCGAGGCGGCACCGCCCCCGCCGTTGCCGAAGAGCCGATCGTCAAGGGCGCTTCGTGGTGGTCGCTGCCGATCCGCCGCCACCAACTTGTCATCTCGCCAGCTGTCGGCCTGATCGTCCAGCACGTACTCTATGGGGCGCCGCTCACCCATCTCATCCTTGTCGAGCCCGTAGCGGCCTCGCAGGATGGCAGCAGCTGAGAAGGGCACCATCTGTCCGAAATCGCTGTCCTCGAAGGAGCAGCGAACCCACGACCCTGGCGGCCTCTCCGAAGGCGGCGGCGGGGGAGGGGGCTCCCGTCACCGAGCACAGGAAGATCGGCCTGGACCTCCGCGCCCTTCCTGTGCAAGCGACGCCGCGCGCGAGGCACCTCCACAGCCGTCGGCGCGGGGATGTCCAACCTGCCTCCGAGCCAGTCCTGCCCCGAGCCGGCCCACCAGCCGTTCGCTAGCGGTCCGTGCTCGAGGACGGCCTCTCCTCGACCGCGCCTGATGAGCGAGACCAGCTCGGCTGCCTGCAGGCTCCTGTTGAACGCAACCACGTTCCTGACGCCCGGTGGGTAACGCCTCCGCCCCGTGATGGGGATGAGCGAGGCGTAGTCTCCGAAGTCCTCAGCATATAACTCGTTGCCAGGCGTGTAAATCTGCCAGCTTGTGCGAGCCTCATTGCGCGGCCACAGTAGCACTCGTTCGCGCGTCCAGCCCGGGTCGTCACTGTACGTCACTAGCACCCTGAGCCCAGGGCAACTGTTGTCAGCCATCATCACTGGGACTAGGCCAACTGGATCCGTGATTCACCTATCGGCTCGAGCACCTTCCGTGCTAAGGCCTGGTCCTCCACTCGGCTCCAGCAGCGAGCTGCGGCGGCCAGCGTCACCAGCGCCCCGACACCCAGCGCCACGGCAAGCGGCACCTCCACGGTCGAATCGAGCCCCGTGCCCGCCACTCGTAGCGGCGACGGCTCGGGCTCCTTCGGCGCCGGCGGCGCCGGGCACAAGCAAGCCAGCGCGGCGCTGGTGCTCGTAGAGGTGCTGCTGGTCGAGCTGTCTTCCAGCTCGTGGCCTGGCCCGCTGCGCGGTGGTAGGCCGCCCGCCTCGTGCACCAGCGCGGGCCCCAGCACGTCGTGCGCCAAAAACCCTGCCAGGAACGTGGCCACGGCGCCGCCTACCGCGCTGGTCGGGTAGGCTCGCATACCCGCTGAAAGCCTGAGCCCCAGCAGCGATATGGGGGCTGCTGGAGGGCTGCAACCTATAAAGAACCTCAAAGCAATCACGTGCAACGCACATCCATGGAACTTTGACAGTGCTCGGTCTCGTAATTCTGAAGTTTCTTGATTTGTGCGTGAAGAGAAGCTCTAATTTGTCTGGTAGGTCTCTGGAGGTATCTGGGGCCCCTTGCGCGGAACGGGGATTATGTGCTGAAGAAATGGGATATGTTGTCGGCATCGAAACTTTGGAAGCGTTGAGAAATTGTAAATGCTTTCAAATGTTGAAGCGTTCGGGCCCGCGTGCGTGACGCTTCCGGGGCATCGCCGTCGTCGTCGTCGTCGTCGCCGTCGCCGTCGCCATGGCCGTCGCCGTCGCCGTCGTCGTCGCCGTCCCCATCGCCGTCGCCGTCGTCGCTGTCGTCGCTTCTGTCGTCGCCGTCGCCGTCATCGCTGTCGCCGAAGTCGTCGACGTCGTCGTCGTCGCTGTCGACGCCGACGCCGCCGCCGCCGTCGTCGTCATTCATAAGAGCGCGTTCTGATGGGGTGTGTTGCAAGTCGTGTGTTTGCTTTCATGGGCGTCACTAACGCCGATTTTTCAATTCCGCGCCCTGCTCGCCGCGCGTGCGTGGAGAGTTTTCGAGTGCGTAGAAGGACAAGACCATCGCGAATTTCTGAAAATTGTTTTTCGGGGGTCGTTGGAGTGTTCGCCTTGCGGCGTCACTAACGCCGATTTTTCAATTCCGCGTCCTGCCAGGTAAATGGGGTTCGCCGTACGTGCGTGGAGAGCTTCGAATGCGTAGAAGGACAATACCATCGCGAATGTTTGAAAATTGTTTTTTGGGGGTCGTTGGAGTGTTCGCCTTGCGGCGTCACTAACGCCGATTTTTCAATTCCGCGCCCTGCCAGGTAGATGGGGTTCGCCGTGCGTGCGTGGAGAGTTTTCGAATGCGTAGAAGGACAAGACCATCGCGGTTTTTTTTTGAAAATGATTTTTGGGGATCGTTGGGTGTTCGCCTTTCCCGTCTGTGTGGTTACTATCGCACATGTTCAAAAACGTGGTTCGGCTTGCAATTTGGTTTCCCAAATCGGCTCACCATGTCTTCTGGTCTGTTTCGTGATATGGGCGTTATTACCGACCACCTCTATGTTGTAAATGTGGTTCCCATGTCGATTTGTTCTGTTTTGTACACCGCCTTGTTTGCTTCCCCGTCTGCGCGCCGGCGCGCGTGGCGTGTCAGAACAAAACCCACTTGGGGAAAAATCCGCGCGCTGAGGTTTTGATGCGGACGTTCCATTGATTTGTTTCGAACTCACTGCGAAAACGTTGCAGGGACACCTCCAGGATTTTGACCATAAAATCCTGGAAGTCTCCTGCTTTTTCATGAGGTTTCTATGGCGGCGTGAAAAAAATCGTCGCGCATGCGACTTGCGCAGTTGCTTCGATCCATAGGACGTCAGAGATAATGTCGCGGCGACGCGTCGCATGACAAAAATTAAGGCCCCCGAAACTACACCCCAGCACGCCCGAGTGGAACGCAACATGTCTCAACCGATGGCTCGTTACTCTGAAAGCAGCGGGCTTCGCGTGCGCCAAGTGCGCCAAGTGTTCGGGTGCGCCAGCACGCATCGTGCAGCTGTTGCAACTTTCCTGCGTTATCCTCTGCTTCCTCCTGTTCCTCTTCCTCCTCCTCCTCCTCCTCCTCCTTCCTCCTCGTTCTGCTCCTCCTCGTCCTGCTGCTCTCGCGCACGTCGCCCTGGCATGACGGCGCGCGAGTCGCCCGGAGGATGGGGGGAGGAGGAGGAGAGGGAATGAGGACGAAGATGAAGAGGGGACGGAGGAGGGGGTGGAGGAGGAAGATGAAGATGAAGAGGGGCCCCGGTGTTGATATGATCGAAGACGCCTGCGGCGAATCACCGCCGCCTCTGCTTTTGTCGGAAGCGCCTCTGTGGCCAAACGTTGGACCCCAGCTTGGCCAAGCTGTCGGACTATGTATTCCCCCCTGCCGTTCAACGTTTGCGGGTCCGTGTAGACGTCTCGGTTTTTTGGGGGTTCCGGGCTGTCGAAGACTACTGGTGTTACTTCCAGTTTCCCCGGGAAACACAAAAAGCAACAGTAAAGGCAGCTGCGTCCGGCGAGCCAGATCCTCCAAACCAAAAGGACGTTAGCATAAATCTTCGCGTGGCGTTGTTTTGAAATTCCTTCTGGGCGCGCCGCGAAAACGCGCCTCGATGTAACACCAACGACGCGGCCTTCCTACAGCAACGACCACAAATAAAAGGCGCCACCGTTCAGAAAAAGTGTCCGAATCAGTACAACGTCGATACATGTGTCGGCTCTGCCTCTTCTCTGCCTTTTCAACCGGGCGGCCTACTAGGCCATCTTAGGTGGTCTTGGGCGCTCTTCGATCCGCATCGGTGCCCTCTTGCACCCCTCTTGGAACTCATTCGGGCCATCTTGGCGGCGTGTTCGAAGCAGGCCTGGCCAGATTCGGGCCATCTTGCTTGGACTGTGGGTCACGATCTTGATGGATGTATCTCGAAGTTTTTTCGGAAAGCTTTCGGTGGTTTTTGGAGGTGAGGTTTGAGGCAACTTGGGAGCCTCGTGGGGGGCCTCTCGGGGCGTTCTAGGGAGCCTTTTTCTGGGTTTCCGGGGGGCGTAGGCTCGCAATGTCGGTTCGAATTTATTCTCTGGGGGCCCTGTTGAGGCGTTCTTGGGGTCCTCTTGGGCTGTTTTGGAGGCCCCCAGGGCTCTTCGGGTTCTGTTGGGCCGTCCGGGTGCGTTTTGGGCCCCTCTTAGGCCATGGATTCAGGAGTTTAAAGGGGCCTGAGGACAGTCTAACACGTGCCTGAGGCCCCCCGACGCTCGGGACCGCCCGAACCGCAAGTTCGGTCACGTCGCTGTCATGGGACCTATGCGGGACCAGCGGCATATTATTCTCAGGGGCGCACTCGGGGTTTAGTGGAACATCTTTGGGACATCTTAGGCGTCGTCGAGATCGCCCAACACCCGGGGCCGCCCGACACGCAAATTCGGCGGCGTCGGCCTTAGAGGATTTATGCGGGACCAGCGGCATCTTGCTCTCTGGGGCCATCTGGATCTTGCTCTCTGGGGCCATCCTGGTGGACACTGGAACCCTCTCCGGGGCATCTCGGGCGTCTTCGAGGCCGCCCGACAGTCGGGCCCGCCCGAACCGTAAGTTCTGCACGTCGGCGTCATGGGAAATATGCGGGACCAGCGGCATTTTGTTCTCAGGGGCACTCTCGGGGTGCAGCGGAACATATGTGGCAAATTTTTGGCGTCGTCGAGGTCGCCCGACACCCCGGGCCGCTCGACGCGCAAATTTGGCGACGTCGGTCTCAGAGATTTTATGCGGGACCAGCGGCATCTTGCTCTCTGGGGCCATCTCGGGGGACATTGGAACCGATTCTGGGGCACCTCGGGCGTCCTGGAGGCCGTCCGACACTTGGGGCCGCCCGACACCCGAACCGCAAGTTCGGTCACGTCGGTGTCATGGGACTTATGCGGGACCAGCGGCATATTGCTCCTCGGGGCCATCTCGGGGTGCATTGGAACCTTTCCTGGGGCCTCTTGGGCGTCGTCGAGATCGTCCGACCTCTGGGGCCGCAGGAAATCTCCCCGGCCCTGGCGGCGCCTTGCAATCCTGGGGTACATCGTCCACGAGGCCGTTTGGCAGCGGGGGCTGCTCGAAAAGTAAATTCGGCTACGTCGGTCCCTAGGGACTTATGCGGGACCGGCGGCGCCATGCTCTTGTGGGCCATCAGGGGGTGCATTGGAACCAATAGTTGGCATTGTGGGCCTCGCCGAGGCCGCCTGCTCCCTGGGGCCGCCCGGATTGTAAATGTTGTCACATCGGTTGGTAGGGACTTATGCGGGGCCCGCGGCATCCTGCTCTCCAGGGCCCATATTGGGGCATGCTGGGGCCCCCGCCCGTTGCTCCGCCACTGCGCCCTTCGAAATGCGTTCGTTCTCCCCCGTGCTGCCCGCGCGCGTTGCGGCTCAAGCTGGCGCTGTTGGCCCGCGGGCACACGCCTGGCGCGCGTCGCCGCGGACAACCCCCGCTCGAGGCCCGAACTCCCCGCCCAGGACGACGGGCGCGAGTCCGGGGGATTCCCGGCGGCGGGGCCCCTGCGGCGCGCTGCGGAGGGCGCCGCGCAGATGCCCCCGAAGGGCAGCGGGGCCCAATGCAGGGTCGATGTTGTCCAGAAGACACGTGCCGCGGGCCTGAAGTTCCAAGTCCGCCTGATATCGAGCCAAGGATCATATGTGCATGGGCCCTTGCGGGACACCGAGCACGCGGCCGCGGCGGACCGGAGGCGGATCGAGCGCGCCCCAGATCGGCACGCGGAGCTCCGTCGTCTGAAACAAGAGCCCGCGCAGGTCCTGGAGGGCGGCCCGCAGACGCCGCAGCGCCTTCGGGAGGGCCCAATTCGGCGCAGGATGACGGGGAAGCGCGCGGCGTCGCCGCGCCCGCCCCCGACGCCCGGCGCCCCCTTGAAAACGGCTCTACAGACGCCAGGCCCTCCTGCCGCGGGCGCGCGCGGCCGGAGGCCTCCCGGGTCGGCGCGCAGCCAGGGGCCGACTCCCCGGGCGGCGGGAGGCCGACAGGATCGGGCTGCCATGGCGTTCCGCGATGTCTTGGCAGCACCGCCGCATGCCCCTGCGCACTCATGACGGGCCTGAAGATGAGCTCGCGCGGAAGTGGCGCAGGTGGAAAACTTCCGCGCGGCTGGCGCCGGCCGCGCGGGGCCTGAAGATGCGCATCGAGGCGCTGGCGGCGCAGTCGGAGGCAGCAATGCAGGATGATCGTCGCGCTGCGCGCGCAGAGCAGGCGCTGCGTGCGCAGCAGCAGCACTGGCGCGAGGATAATGACGTCCACGACGACGACTGGCGGAGGCGGCCAGCCTTGCATCGGTCTCGCGGCGGCCGGCACCCGTACCCGAACTTTCGAACCTTCTGAACACTTGCTACCTCAACGCGCCCCTGCAGCGCCTGCCCCACTGCCCCGCCACGCGCGCCGCGCTCTTGGAGCAGGGGGGCGAGGGCGAGCCGCTGGTGGTGCAGGACGCGGTGCGGGGAGCAATCTCTTTCGTGCTAATCTCTCGCTTTGTATCTTGCGGGCGCTGGCCCCCCCCCCCATCCGAGACAGCGCTGGCGGGCGCCGGGGCCCACCCGCGTCCAGGAGAAGCAGACACAGAGACATATAGAGAGGTAGAGAGAGAGAGAGAGGGAGAGGGAGAGGGAGAGGGAGAGGGAAAGAGAGAGAGAGAGAGAAAAAAAATAGAAAGAGAGAGAGAGAGAGATAGAGTGAGTGAGAGACGGGGCCGCAGAGAGGGGCCAGGGGGACGCGAAGGTGCAGAGAGTGAGTTTGATGAGCCCCCCGAGGAGCTGCGCGACCTGGCGGGCAACTGCGCGCGCGGAGTGCCGCCCAGCCTGGCGGAGGGCGACGGCGGCGAGGCGTGCGCGCGCCTCCGCGTGGACCGTTGGTCTCCGCACGCCCTCGAGGAAGCGTTCATTGCGAAGCACCGTCTCGGGTACAAGCGGGGGAGATGCGCGGACGCGAGCGGGGCGCTGGTGGACATGATACAGGACGCGCCGTGTCTCCACCGTCTCTTCCACTTCGTCTCGTCCAACGGCGAGGAGGAGGTCGCGATGCGGCCCCCGTATTTCGTGGACGGGGCAGGCGACGGCGACGACGCCATATCGCCTCAGGAGTTCGTGAGCATCGTCGAGGGCACGCAGAAATTCAACATGCGAGAGATGATCCGCCGCGGCACCTCCATGGGGGCACTGGTAACCAGGCCAGAGGTGCTGGCCGTCTACGTGGATCCGAGATGGAGGCGTGGCGACACGTTGTTCTACATGAGCTGCATCGGCATTCTCTCCGAGCGGGGCGACGTGCCCGAGGTGGCTCTGCAGGTGGGCGGGGAAGATGTAGTGCACCGTCTGCGCTCTTACGTTCAGTACAAGCTGCCCGAAGAAAAAAGCATTGCCCCTGCTGGCCTCCTGACGGACCCCGAGGGCCACTACGTGGCCCACTTCGAGGAGGGCGACGAGCGGTACGCTGCCGACGACCTGGGCGATCGCCCGCACGTGGCCCAGCGGCCGCCCGGCACCCAGCATGCGATGCCCGTGCTGGTCTTCCTTGAGCCGGTGGACTCCAGAGCGGCCCGCGCCGCGGAGTGCCCGCGGCCGCCCGGGCAGGTCGTTGACAGCGCGGGGGGCGCGGGCGGCGGGCGACGACGGTGACGCGAGCGCCGACGGTGAGGACAGCCCCGGCCTCGACGGGGAGCGCGGGGAGGAGGACGGGGCCGGCGATGCCAGCCTGTCGGGCGCGCGGAAGCGGCCCGCGGCGTCTGCGAGGAGCGGCGCCCCTCCCAAGAAGCGGCTCCGCCTCCGGGGGAAGCAGAGCGCGGCTGGCAGGCGCGACGGCCGGAGCCGCGCCGGGAGGCAGCAGCACCGCGCTGGGAGGCAGGACGGCCGGAGCCGTGCCGGGAGGCAGCAGGAGGATAAGCAGCGCGGCTGCAAGCCGGAGGAGGTGCTCCGGCAGGGGCGGAAGCCGAAGAGCAAGGGCGACAACGCCGACGGGTCCAGGCAGGACGCCCAGAACAACGCGGCCGCACAAGTTAAGCGAAGCAGCAGGGAGGCGAAATGTCTGCAGACGGCCTGCGACGCGCGCCGGGAGTGCGGCGACCTCTTCCTGCTCTTGCACTTACTGGAGCCGCTGGCCACTACCGATGTCCTGCTGAAGCACTACCCGGACTTCTTCGTCTACGCCTGCGACGATTGCGCCCACCGATGGGCGACGTTCCTGCGCGCCCCCGATCGGCCTGTCAAGTTGGCCGGCAGGCTGCGGGAGGCGCTCGGGGTGACGGAGGAGGAGATTTCCGACGCCAAGCGCCGACTGGAGAACGGGGAGTGGCACATGCAACACGTCGCGGAGCTCCTGGACGAGCGTCTGAACTCCGCCCACAGCGCCCACTCCGTCGCGGCCGCGGCCCGCTTGGCGGTGGGCGACGGGCCGGGCGCGAGGACGACGGCAACCCGCTGAGGGCACACCTGGCCGATGCGTGGCAGCGCAGACCCTGCAACCGCGGCCCGCCCCGGCACTCGGCCATGCCTGCGCGCCTTCGGGATCGCTCTGAATGGTTCCAGTGCCCCGCGCCTGCGCTGCATCACGCTGCCGCATGTGCGAGGCCGAGTTCCCCAACAGGGAGGCCTTCCAGGCGCACCAGGGCAGAGTGCACGGGGGGCAGCGGTGGTACCAGTCGCAGTATGTGGCGCGGTGCGAGCTGGAGCCCTACCAGCCGTCGCCGACCGAGGAGCGCCAGGTGAGCGGGCGGCGGGGAACTGCGCCCAGCCCCCGGTGACGTGCCCTTAGCGCTGGCGCCCCCAGCGCCAGCGGCAAGGGCATCGGGAGCGCTGGGGGTAGGGCGGTGCTCCCCGCCGTCGCTGCAGGTGGTTGCCAGGTTCCACATTTCCCAGTGCTGCGCCACCGTCGACCCCGTGGACGAGCCCTTCGTCCCGAAGCCCGAGCCAGAGGTGCAGAAGCAGCTGCTCCACGCGGAAGTCATCGGCAGGATCATCGGCAAGATCGGGCAGGGGGGGCCCGCGGAGGAGATCTCCTTGCAGGCGGCTGGCGCGGCGGAGTCGGCAGCCCGCGCTCAGGCGGCATGTCAGGCGAGGGAGCCCCGCGCTTTCCAGGCCTGCGTCTGCTGCGCCATGCAGCAGTGGCCCGAGAACCTCCACTCGGAGTACCTCGTCGGCGATAAGTGCACCATAAAGGACCGGGCCCAATTCGCGGACTGCCTGTCGGCCGAGTGGCATCACCGACGATGGCCCCTCATACCGCGCGACGAGCTGATGTCGTCGGCCGTGCACTTTCCCCACCACGACTGCGAGGGCTCGCCGACGTCCACGAAGATACTCTTGCACAAGAGGCGCGTGCCGCCTGAGGCGCTCGAAGGGAAGGTGCCGGTGAAAGTGCGCGACGATTGCCGGAGAGATCTGTGGTCTGATCACCCCAAGGTGCCGCTGATGGCGCTGGTTAACGACCTCTGGCTGGGACGCCACCACCCACTGCTCAGGAAGGCCGCTCTCGCGCACCAAATGCTGCTCGCGCTCGGCCGCGTCGCGTCCACGAAGATCTACCTGTCCAGCAAGGGCGCCGACAAGGCCGTCCGGCAGGAGCAGCAGTCGTGGAGGCAGAAGTTCTTGCAGTACGCCATGCAGGGCACCGCCATCGTGTTCGGGAACGGGAACGTGGACCACGCGACGCGGAGCTTCCCGCCGGAGCCCGACATGCTCAGGGACACGTTCGCGGCCGTCTTCGCGGGCGCCGACGACGATCGACGAGGAGGGCATCCCCCTGACCGAGGAGCAGAAGCAGGAGAGGGCTTTGAGAGCCATGAGGGAGGAGGTGGCGCTGCACGTCGACCAGGCGGAGTACGACGCCCAGGCGCGGTTGTTGAAGCAGCACAACTACGTGTACAATGACCCGGGCGTGCAGTGCCGATCGGACCTCGTGGACCGGTTTCCCCCGCAGCCGGACGTGCCCGACTTCATGCTGGCCTGCGCGAAGTATGTCCCCACGGACGCGGCGTTGGACGACGTCGCGCAGGCGCAGGGGCCCGCGTCGGCCACCACTGGCGCGCAGGCAGAGATGAGTGCGGCCGCCGAGGACGCGCAGGAGCTGACCAAGTGGCTGTCCGTCCTTGAGGACCACATGGACGACGTCAGCGAGCTCACGTCCCTGCCGGCGCTCCAGGGCATGCTCGAGAGGATGGAGAATCAGGCGGGGCGCGTGGTGGCCAACGAGCTGATGTCCAGGCTCGAGGAACAGGGGGGCGAGGATAGGGCGCTGCCGCTGGACGAGATCGGGCGTCACCGCCTGCGGGCCCTCTGCCAGGAGTTTCACGCGCGCTGTCAGAAGATCTCCCCCGGGGAGGACATTGCGAAGCTGCACTGGCGCGTCCAGGCGCTGGAGACGAACAACTGCCAGGCGGAGGAGGGCGCGGCCGACCTGGCGCGACCTGCAGGAGTCGCGGGGACTCCCGCCGAGGACGACCCGCGCTCCTTGCAGGGACCGCCCGGCCCCAACGGCCAGCGAAAGGCGAGGCTTCGGCTGCCCACTTCGAGGAAGGCGGAGAGCTGGTGGAATCCGAAGTACTGGTCCACTGCCAGGCCCACGGACTTTTGCTACGAGGACTGCGCCTGGGGCCTCGGCCAGCTGCCCCCGGACGGAGACGAGGACCCGCAGAAGCAGAAGGAGGGTCGGCTCTGCTTCAGCGTGGCGCACTTCATCAATAGTTTTCACACTCGGGAGGAGATGGAGTACGACGTGTCTGCCGACGAGGAGAAGTCCAGGCCCATCAGTCGTTTCCGGAGCTCCAGGTACGACGTGCACCTGCTGTCTTCCTTCTGGAGAGTCACGGAGACGACCAACAGCACCTACACCTTCATGAAGACGCCCGGGGCGTTCGGGGCCGCTCGCGCCTGCGCGGACATCACGCCGGATATGATCGAGGAGGTGCAGCTCAGGGCGCAGCAGACGGGCGGGAAGGCCACGCTGCACGGCATCCTCAAGGACAAGGACACCCCGAACGAGGTGCGCTTGGCCTTCGCCACCCTGGGCCAGGCCACCGCCAGTCAAGTCGGGTCCGACGGACACAGGCGGGAGCTGCGTGGAGAGGGCGAGGCGTTACCTTGCGCTTCGGCCCGCCCGTCCAATTCGAAACCCCGAATCTGGCAGACACCAAGCAGCCCCTGATCCTCATCGTGCAGGGGGAGGAGTACACCTTCGGCAACGGCCTGACCGAGGCAGAGCAAGTCACGTTCAGCGAGATGTCGCAGCGCATCGCCGCGGACCCCGTGGGCCAGGCCGTGGTGTTCGAGCTGATGATGAGGCTGCTCTTCGTCCACGTCCTCGGCCTGCGCCCGGAGACCGTCGGGTGGCGGCGAGGAGAAGTTCGAAAGGCTGCGGAACACTGACACTGGATCTCCGACGGCGTGGCGGCCGACCTCATGGGCGTGCCCACGGCGTTCGGCCCCCTGGCGGCGGCCTTCGGTCCGGTCGAGGCTCAGGGCCGCGGCTCGCTGCACCCGCACATCCTCGTCTGGCTGCTGCAGGGTCAGCTGCGCGGTGCTCTGGGACATGCTGCAGCACGACGAGGCGCGCTTCCAGGAGCACTTGAACCTGTGGATGCGGCAGGTGGTGCAGGCCGTGGTCGCCACTCAGCAGAGCGCCGTGGAGCTGCTGCCCCTGCAGCTGCAGGGGGGCGAGAACAAGTGCGGGGTCGCGGCGCCGCCACTGCCGTTCGGGCCCAACGAGAAGCGATAAGCGGCACTTCAGAGCCGACGGGGGCGCGGAGATGGCGACTGCAGAGAAGCTCGGGGTCGAAGGCGAGACGGAGCCGCAGGAGCTGTGGCTCTACGAGCCCAAGGTAGACGACTACAACAGGGCGTTTCGCCCCGATCTGCCGCTACGCAACAACGACGGCGAGGCCGTGGACGACGATGCGGCGCGTGGACAGAGCAGAGGGCCGCGGAGAACAAGGGGTACTGGCGGCGGCCGCTCTCCAGCAGCGCCTCCGGCACCCTCCCGAGGTACCGCGGCGGGGGCACCCTGGCGGAGTCTCTCCCAAACGACGAGTGGATTCGCGAGATGTGCCGCGACGCGCGCGAGCTCGTCATCGGCTGCGGCATCCACGTCTGCAGCCCCTCGTGCTACAAGTACCATTCCAACAAGACGCGCGGCTCGCAGATCTGCCGCCACAACTTCTACAACCTGGTGACATTGTGCACGTGGCCCGAGGGGGGGGACTCCCAAGAGTGCCGGCTCCGCACGCGCGGGAAGGCTCTGCGCGGCTGCATCGGCATCTTCCGGGAGACGGACTACGGCATGGCCGGGCGCATCGTCACCTTCCAGCTCCACCCTGGGGAGACCTCCACGAAGTACGCGGCAGTCGTCTCGGCGCGGTGCAACGTGGACGTGCAGAACATGAGACGGGTGCTGCCCCCGCGCCTGTGGATGGAGGCGTCGGAGCTGGAACCGCTGGCGAACGAGGAGGACCGAAAGAGCTACAACCATGGCCTCTACCCCCAGCGCTACGCCGACTTCTCGGTGGGCGCACGGGCGGACTGGGGATGGCTCCAGCATCTGAACACCACTTCCGCGGAGAAGTGGGACCTCGTCGTAGTCACCGACTGGCACGAGATCTTCAGGGAGCTCGCGAACAGCGACAGCCCCGCCGTGGACGGTGACGACGCTGTGCGCGCCGATCTCCAACGCGACCTGGAGCGACGCGCGCTGGCCACCTTCGTGGACGGCCACAACACGAGCTACTATGTGAATTCGTACACCACGAAGGTCAACCCCAACATGGACGACGTGCTCTGCAAGCTCGACGGCGTGCGCCGCCTGAAGAGCCAGTGGGACGACAGGGGGGCGCAGGCCGCGGGCGGCGCCGGCGACGAGGCCCAGTCGACCGCCGCAGGAAAGCGAAAGGAGGATTTCAAGCGCACGCTGCAGGTGCTGGCCCGCTTCGAGACCTGCTTCCGCAGAGCCTCCTGGAAAAGCGGCAGCGAAATGGTCTTCCCCATGCTCTTCGGGTACCTCTCTTTCATGACGCACCGTTGCTGGAAGGTATTCATGCGGAAATCCATCCACCTCGCCGCGGAGTCCTGGCGCAGGCGATACGGCCAGGCCGACACTGCGGAAAGCGCACCCGTACGCGGTCCCTGGCATTGGACAGCAGGTCGCGATGCCGGGGTGGCGCGAGGTGCAGCGCGAGGGCGAGAAGGTGTACGCCAGCCCCGACGGCGAGGAGTTCGACACGATCGACTACGCGCACCAGGCGTTCCAGATCGCGAACGCCAGCGGCGGCTCGATGCGCGACGTGACGAAGGCGTTGAACAAAATGCGGGAAGGCGAGGCCGAAGAGGTGCCTGAGGCTCCGGGGCCGACTGTCGAGGGCCTCGCGCAGGGCAAGTTCAGGGGCGCAGTGTTGAGCCAGCACGACGACTGGATGCACCGCGGAGACCACCCTATTGTCCGAGACATGAGCTTGTACGTCTACAGCATCTGGGTGCACCGCGTGGAACTGCCGCTGCATGCCCTTCCGGCCGGGGAGCTGGATCCCGAGGGCAGCGGGGGTCGCACCCTGCACGTCGACATCGCCTTCGACTCGTCCTACTCGGCGGCGCGCAACTGGACGCAGAGGCTGGCCGTCGAGCCGCGCATCCCGAAGGCCGACGGCTTCCAGTTCGTCAGCGCGGAGTCGAACGTGGAGACGCACTACCTCATGAAGTCGGTGCTGCTCCGGCCAGTGCACCTGCTGGACGCCGACGGGCCCAACGACACGAAGGAGCTGCGCTACCTCCGCGCGTACGAGCACCTGTGCGCGGCGCCGGAGGGCGAGCCGGAGTGGCCGGCGCAGCCGGCGGGAGAAGGCGTCTCGGGCCCGTTCCAGCGCGGCGGGGAGTCGTTCGCCACCGCCCAGGAGCAATTGGCGAAGACGGCCCGGGCTAAGTGCCTCAGGAACGACGTCGGGTCTTGGGCGACCCCCAGCATCTGGAACACGGAGGAGGTCGAGTCCGCGCTGCGCGAGAAGCGCAGCGACCGCCGCGAGGACGTGCAGCCTCCTTGCCAGTGCGCCCAGTGCATGGAGCTGGGCAACTGGCTGGACAGCATGCTGACGGTGCAGGAGTACCTGGCCCTGGAGACCACGAAGACCGCGGCCAACTTCGACGGCATCTCCAAGGCGAAGGCTTCGAAGCCGAAGAGGCCGCAGAAGGACGACGTGCAGGTCGCGGAGGCCCCCGTGTTCCGGGAGGGCGCCGAGGACTCGGGGGCAGGCGCCGCGCAGGTGGAGGCTCAGGGCATCCGCCCTCAGGACGGCTTCGCGAAGCTGGGCGCCAACGCGGTCCTGGAGCATCACTTCGACCCAGAGACGCTCGGGCAGATCTTGCGCTTCGACACCGCCGATCGCGCGCAGGCCTTCGTGAAGGGGCTCAAGAAGGCCGCCACGATGATGGAGAACTGCGCACTGCCCGGGCCGAACGACGCCGACGCGCCGCGGCGCGCTGCCCGCGCCCTGAGGGAGGACGTCCTCGCTCCGTTCAGGGCCCTGCGCGACCTCGACGCAGACGAGCTGAAGGACTTGGTGGAGACCCAGCGGAAGAGGTTCGCCAAGGGTGGCACGAAGGACGCGGACGTGCCCGTGGACGACGCCCCCGCGCGGGACGACGTCGGGGCAGCGGGCGCTGGCGCGTTGCCGGCCGAGGCGGCGCAGGCGCGGTGGGAGCCGTCGGAGGAGTTGCAGCGGCCCAGCGACCTCGTCAAGCGCCTCGTCAAAAAGTTCGAGGACGGCGTGGTCAACCCGAGCACGGGGAAGCGGGAGCGCCGCCCTCTGAAGCCCGACCAGGCCTTGTTCGTCACGGCGTTCGCGAACGCCTGCAACGTGGCGTGGGACGAGGAGCAGAAGATCGAGGACGGAAGCATGGCCAAGCACGCGAAGCGGAAGCATGGACGCGCTGTTCCCTGTGGAACCGGGCAAGGCGAACACGTCCACGCTGATAGTCTGCGCGAAGTGGTCCCAGGCCGCGAACATCTCCACGGACGCTCACAAGGCCGTCAGTTGCCACCGGGCGGGAGTCATAGGAGTGCAGTCCTTCAGGAACAAGGACATACCCGCGGGGGGCAAGCTGAAAGCGCTGCAGGACACGTGGGAGGCTGTCAGGTGCTTTATCCTGGACAAGGTGAGCATGATCTCGCCCAGCCTGTACAACATGCTGGCTGGCATCCCGGTCCTACCTGGGACGCAAGGCCGAGTGGGTCGCGGAGGGGCGGGAGTACGACCAGGTCGGCGGCGCCTTCGGCCGGATGCCCATCGTGATCCACCTGGGAGACTTCCTGCAGCTGAAGCCGACGGGAGGCAAAGTGTCCCTCATCTCCAGCTTCGAGGAACTCGCGACGGGGGGCATCAACCTCGCTCCAGAGTACCAGGCCGTGATGAAGATGTTCTGCAACACGCCGCTGTGCTTCGAGCTCCAGGCGTCCAACCGCTTCAAGGACACGAAGCTCCGGGATCTCATGGCGTTCCTGCGCAAACCGGGGAAGCAGGTCCCTGCGGCCATCCGGGCCACGTGGAACGCAATGCAGCTGAAACCCGATGATCGACGGCTCCGGGAGGAGAGGTTCCAGAACGGCCACATGATCGGGCCCTACTGGGACACCGTGGCGCGGTGGATGAACATGCGTGCCCAGCGGGACGCCGACGTTCTGAAGAAGCCCCTATTCCTTGTGCAGGCCGCCGACAGGTCTGCCCCGACGATGAACGTCAAGTATGCGGCTAAGATGATGAACTGTGCCAACCCGAAGAACACCGGTGGCATGCACGGACTGCTCCCGGTGCACGTGGGCGTGCGGATCCGGCTCCTGGAGGCGCTCGACCTCAGGAACGGCCTCGTCAAGGACGCCGAGGGGCAGATCGTGCACATCGTCGTGGACCCTCGGGATCGGGACGACGTCGAGAGAGCCGAGAGAGAGGGGGAGAAGAGGATATACCTGAAGCGCTTGCCGCTGGGGTTCTGGGTGCGCATGGAGAAGTACGCGAGCGCGCCCTTCGTGGACGACCTGAAACGCCACGACGACAGCCTCACGGGGGACCTCGCGGGCCCGCTGGTGTTCATCGAGCCCCGCGCGTCGGAGCCGTTCACCTTCCGCAGCTCCAAGGTCACCCGGACGGGCTTCCCGTTCTTGCACGGCAGGGTCATCACCACGGTGGCGCGCCAGCGGCGCACCATGCGAGAAGGCGACGGGGCGGGGGAACGGCGCTCCGGGGACGGCCAGACCTCCGGGGCGCGAGCAGTCCGCAGCCATCCTTTGGTCCTGTGGACTCTCGCCCTGGGCCGTCGGCTGCCCGGCGCACCGCTCCGTCGACCGACGTCGCCCAGGCGTGATCCTGGACTGCGGCCGCCACGAGGTCGGGAACGGCAAGAAGGAGGACGACGACTGGTGGCTGGAGCTCTACGTGCTGCTCTCGCGCGCCACGCGCCACGAGGACCTCCTGCTCGTGCGGGCGCCGCGCATCGAGTTCTTCCTGGCAGGGCCGCCGGAGGGCTTGCGGAAGCAGCTAGCTGCTTCCGCAAGCTGGAGCGCGGCGCACATGAAGCGGAGCAGGAGGGAGGCGACGGCCCTCGCCAGAGAGCTCGGCTTCATCGAGTTTATCCGCGAGGCCTGACCTGAGGAGCGTCTCGCCCGAGCCGCGCCGTCTCTCGACTGTCCAACTACTTGTCTGGCTTCGCGCTGCGGACGACCCGCGCGCGTCGCTGGGACCC